CTCCCTTAACACGTTCCGTGCCACGTGTACCATCGATGGTACACGCTTGCATGTTTACTTAGTGAACTGAACAAATTGTTTACAAGAAATTTAGAACCGAAGAATCAATTTCCACCGCAAGAATGGGCGTTGATAAGTTTTTGTTACGTTGTTATGTGTACGAGAATTAATAATTGCACGTAATACATCAAGTTTTAGTAAAATATCAAAGTGTGAAGATTCGAGTAAAAAAAGCTCGGCACGGAACGTGTTAAAAGAGATTCTGGCTGGCATTCTTGATGACGATGATTAAAAAATAATCAATTATTGTCCAACTCTGTTCTGCAGCAATGAACCTGACGGCACCTAAAATAACCGTGAAGTATCTTCGGCAATTTTCCGGCGAAGACAATATCATTTGGCTACGGGCCGCGGTATTATTGTACGGCGTAATTCGAATCTTGAATAATGAACAGGCCGGCTCATTAGGAATTCACGGAACTCGTCGCTAGGAGGGACGGCCAATCGGGAGCCGGTGGCCGTTCCACTTTTGAAACGAACGTTTAAACAGATTGTCCGCATAGCTCTCGCTCGGACGCGGTCACCGCGGAATTCCGTGTCTCGCATAATTCCGCGGCGGACGATCTTCAGCGGAGGCCGAATCCGTTGGCTTTTTATAGAACGACATTTCTTGGCGGCCGGCGCGGGAATGTAAATTTCAGCTCGCCCCGGTTCTACATTTTCTCAAGAATCTCGGGCGTTTAATTAAGCGGGAAAAACTTGTGTACAAACGTTTCGGCGCGGCGCCGCGCCGCGTCGATCCACTTTCTTATTTGCGAAATGACCGAGCTGCGATACTCTTGCGGAAGCCACCGACGAACAGGAAAGCTTACTGTCTGGTTGCCGGATAAGCTCGAACGTTTTGTGAATCGTAAATTTCATCGGAACTCCCGGAAAGTTAGCTGGTTTCGAGTAGTATGAACCGGTCCGTCGCCGGACGCGGCTTTCGCTAGAGACTGCGGGCGACAATTCGAGATTTTCCTTCATAGTTCGCAAACTGTCGCCGCCTTTCACGCGAATAATTATTTTATTTTTGACCCTGTCATCGTTTAACCCTTTGCACTCGAGTGACGAGTCCGAAGCGCCGTTAAGAACTGTTATACCATTTTTCGAAATAATTGTAACAGTGCCAGATTTGTTACGTTTACAAAAGCTGTTAAAACTGCAAGTATTATACTTTCCAATAGAGTCAATTTCAAATGCATAAAAAACTGCATTGAATCATATAAAATTGAAATACAATAATTGATTGTCCACAAAGATGGACAATTTGGGAAGAGGAGATACGATTATTCGAGCGTTGCAGTTCGTTTTCATAGTCATTGACAATCGGTAATTATAAATCGCGTCTCCTCTTCCCAAATTGTCTATTTAAGTGCACAATTTGGGCGACAATTAGGGAAACATTACTGTACCGCGGATTCCGAATTCACTTGGATTCCGAATTAAAATAGCTTCGACTGCAAAGGATTAAGTAGATTACGCCAGTTCGTGGCCAGACATCCATTTTCACTCGTCGTAGACGTTGATCTTGCTCTCTGGAAATTTTTTAATTATCGATTATCCTTCTACTGTAATTCACATTAGGCCAGTCTATTCACGATGCTCTTGTTTAAGTAGAATTGGTCATCGATTATGGAACGACGAATTCGGTTCGTTGTAAACGAACTCCTTTCTTAACCCTTTCGCTACGGGCGGGTTCTCCACCGCGGTACTTCCGCTGAACGGAGCGCCGCGACATCACTGCACGCTACGCGACGCCGATCGTCAGCGGGAGTACCGCGGCGGAGAACCCAAGCTGCTTGAATGTTTTCGTACGAAAAAATTTCTCTCCAAAGGGTATTTATAAATAAAGGGTATTCCAGGGTATTTATAACATCTTAGCATGCGCTCTTTAATTTACAGTATGAGAGGAAATAAAACATTATGCAATATAATGCATCTTATGGAAGGCCACTATAGTGGCCCGTAGTACCTCAGTGGCATCTTATGAAAGGCCACTATAGTGGCCCGTAGTACCTCAGTGGCATCATACGAAAGGCCACTATAGTGGCCGGTAGTACCTCAGTGACATCTTATGGAGGGCCACTATAGTGGCCCGTAGTAGCGAAAGGGTTAAATCATTTCAAAGTACAGATGCTCATCGCGTACTTCATTTGATCCGTACAAAATGCTGCTACGTAGAACATAACTATACCTTGACAGGCTCTCGTATTCAGGATGTCTAACGATCTAATTTCTCGAAGAACTTTAAACGACAGATAGTTTCCTGGTTGTTAATAATGTAGCTTAGAAGTGCTGTCCTAAGTTGATTGCAACAGCACGCGACTAGGAAATGTCTTAGTCTTAGAAAGCAAAGATGTGAAATTTCCTGTTAATTATTCAGTTCAATTGATAACGAGATCAGACTATTCCGGCAGAATGTTCAATTCTACCATCAGAAAATGTATTTTATTCTTGGACACCAGAGATATCTTGTTTGTTCGACATACATTAATGTCTACCTAATTGACGCTCAGATTGTCCACAAAGATGGACAATTTTGGAAAAGGAGATACGATTGTTCGAGCCTTGTGGCTCGTTTTTTATGGTTATCGATTGTCAACGACTATAAGAAACGAGCCGCAAGGCTTGCAATAATCGTGTCTTCTCTTCCCAAACTGTCCATTTTTGTGCGCAATCTCAGCGTCAATTAGGGAGACATCGCAGTCTAATAACGATTGCCTCGAGTACGAATTATTCGAGTAATTAAGTACAGTAGCGAACTCTATACAGGGTGTCGCAAAAGTGTCTCGCAATCCGGAAATGACGGATTCCTCAGATCATTTGAAGCAACTTCTTCCTTTACAAAAATTTTCTCCGAGGCACCGTTAACGAGTTATTAACGAAAAACAGTGACCAATGAGAGGCGAGCTCAGCTGGCGCGAGGCGATCGAGCCAATGAGCGGAACTGGGCTTCGTGCGCTGGTTGGCTGGGCCGCCTCGCGTTAGCCGTACTCGATTCTTATTGGTCACTGTTTTTCGTCAATAACTCATTAACGGTGCCTCGGAGAAAATTTTTGTAAAGGAAAAAGTTGCTTCAAATGACCTGAGGAACCCGCCACTTGCGGACTGCGAGACATTTTTGGGACACCCTGTATATACAGTTCGGAAGTTTCGAGTTCGGAACCGATTCGGCCAATAATTAGCATTCTTGCAGAATCTCCACAACTAGATTCTTGCAGGTGGAGCAGATCCAGAGAGGATGGCACCTCCTAGAGTGGAGGAGTATCTCGCAGAGCTGTTCTGCGGTTCGAACGTGACGATGCAGGTGGTGTCCGATCAGGACACGTTGCTCCAGGAGTATCCACTGTTCGCGTGCGTGAATCGAGCCGCGTCAATGATCCCCCGGCACGCGGGCAGGATTATCTTCCTAACCTACGAGCCCCCTAATCCAGCCTGCGTCCTGGAAACGGTCATGCTCGTGGGAAAGGGTGTCACTTACGACACCGGCGGCGTCGACCTCAAGATCCAGGGCACAATGTTCGGCATGTCGAGGGACAAATGTGGGGCGGCCGCGTGTGCCGGATTCATGCAGGTGCTTTCATATAACGCCTCTCGTAAATCATCGTTAAGTAATATTCGGAACGCCCACTCGCGCCGTTGTAAAAAAAAATAGAGAGAGAGAGAACGCCCCATCCCCGTTAATACCTATCCATTCGTTTTTCACTTCTGTCGCCCGTATTTCCCAATTAAACAACCGTGTACGCGCGTACGACCTTTATGACAGCGTTCTCTAGTTTCTCCGTATGCGGACAACGGCAGACTTCATCTATTAAACATTTGGATACAGAGATATTTTAATAAAAAACGACTCGTGCCTCGATTGAAAATTCGGTCCTTCCGGTCCTTTGATGTAGGGGATGTCGTGTAAACCGGCGGTGCAATCGGATGGAATACATTTTTTTCATTCGATGCTCCGTTTCCGAGAAAAATTAGGTCGACGAAATAATGCTGTTGAATGGGAATCACGCGTCTAACTATGACGTACCAATTCTACTTCTCGTCGTGCTGCAGGTCTATTCTCTTTTTTCTTTTTCGTTACACGACACCCTGTATATTTCTCTGAGTTTCAAAATATTTTTCTTCGTAATTCTGAATTTCAAGATATTTTGATTCGTCATTCTGAATTTCAAATTATTTCGATAAATCGTTCTGAATTTCAAGATATTTTGATTGGTCATTCTGAATTTCAAATTATTTTGATAAATCGTTCTGAATTTCAAGATCTTTTGATTCGTTATTCTGAATTTCAAAATATTTCGATAAATCGTTCTGAATTTCAAGATATTCTGATACATTTTTCGGGATCTCAAAACATTTCGGATATTTTTCAGTTCGGCAAAGGAACGAGTTGAAAACGTATACGGAATCGAATAAATTGATAAATATTCATTTTCTCATACGAAAAATTGGTATTACGAGCATGGTCGCGCGCGGCACGATCCGATAGTCTCTCCCGCGAATAGTTCCAGCTTTGTTAGCGTAGACAATGCGCCGAAATTTGCTCGTGCATTACATGTAACAGATTAAATGGAGATTGTACATTTCATTTCACGACAATTAAGTCGGCAATTTAATCGACGCGATTACATACGCGCTTCCTATGACCGAGGATTCCGCAACACGCGTTTCCACGCTTCCAATATCCAGCTTCGCGCATGCAATGCGGAGTAGTTAGCCGGCACACAATGCAAAATCAGCGGCGGAGTAACTTAATCCAAATTTATATACTGCGCTACCGTTACGTACTCGGTTCGGCCTGTTTTTCAGCGTGCTTGTATTTATTGCCCCGGATATCCGACTATTTAACGCTTCGCCTAGCTGAATTTGCCAAATAGTTGTTCCAGGGTAATCAACAAACAGAAATTCATTAGTGAACTTTACAGAGCCCGAATATCACAATTCTATACCCTCTCATGAACGTACTCGCGGGTCTCTGTGCAAAGTAAATATTGTTTGCACGAATTTCACGGTACAGGAACAATTAATTTTTTTCACAGAGATCCATCGTTGAAAGATCTGACAGGAAATTTTGGAAGAATAGACACGACGATTATGACGAAGATACAGGGTGTCCCAAAAATGTCTCGCAGTCCGAAAGTGGCGGGTTCCTCAGGTCATTTGAAACAACTTTTTCCTTTGCAAAAATTTTCTCCAAGGCGCCGTTAACGAGTTATTAACGAAAAACAGTGACCAATGAGAGGCGAGCTCAGCCTGTCTCTTATACACATCTAGATGTGTATAAGAGACAGGCTGAGCTCGCCTCTCATTGGTCACTGTTTTTCGTTAATAACTCGTTAACGGCGCCTTGGAGAAAATTTTTGCAAAGGAAAAAGTTGTTTCAAATGACCTGAGGAACCCGCCACTTTCGGATTGCGAGATATTTTTGAAAATGAATTTTCATTGAAAAATAAATTTGTTTTTTCTACGCGCGATATCGACGTCATTAGTAGTTAGCAGCAAATTCCATCCGCGTGTAATTTTTATTATTTATCTCTTCGTCGAAACATATTTATTCGTCGCATTGCAAACGATCAACATCGCTGATTCGGATTTTCCACGTTTCACGTTAAAATACAGTCGCGTTCTCTTTCCTCGTAAAAAAATCATTGCATTTAGCCTGCGAGGCCCAAGACTGAAGGGAGTAGAACGGAGTAAAAGATACGAGTTTAAGAGCGTGCAGCCGTGAGCGCAACAATGACTCGTCCCGGGTGACTCGAGAAATATGTCACGTGTTCGCAGGTGGTGAATTTACTGCAGCCGCCGACGGTTAAAGCTGTGGCGGCTTTGTGCGTCGTGAGGAACAGCATCGGCGAGAATTCTTACGTTTCCGACGAGGTGATCACGGCGAAATCCGGGGTTAGGGTACGTGTCGCGAATACGGACTCCGAGGGTCGCATGGCGATGGCCGATGCCCTTTGTCACATCAAAGAAATGGCCCTGTGCTCGGTTAATCCGCACATCTTCACCGTCGCGACACTCGCTGACCATGCGATGCTCACCGTTGGCAGAGGATACTCTGTAAGTACCCGAAAACTATCCCTTAAATTAACCCACGGATTTCTCATCTTTGATCATATAACTTTCCCATGAATGTGAGCCATTCTATTCTGTTCAAATTTCGAGCTCTTTGCCGCTTTGACACTGTACCTACTGGGCCAGTTAGAATGATCGATTTCACATTTTTTATTTTAGAATCATTCAGTAAATCATAAAATAATATATATGACAATATATGTATACAGGGTGTTCCACAATTATTATAACAGCCGAAAATGAGGGTACATTTGAAGGTCATTTGAAGTAACTTTTTCCATTGCGAAAATGCAATCTGCGGCTTTGTTTACGAGTTATTAACGGAAAACACTGCCCAATGAGAGGTGACGGCGCGAAGTTCGAGAGCCCGCAGCACGAGGCTTTGACTGTTGTTCGGACGGACTCGAGCCGCGTTCGCAGTATTGAACAAATCACGAAGCGAGAACTTCCCGGACTTTTTTTACTACGTAACAGTGATATTTTTAAGAAAAACGCTGTTCACCTTTACTTTAGAACGTCTGAAGAATATTTACTAATTTTTCGAACCCGAAATAGTAAGTACAGTAAGTATATCAAGGTTATGTCAAGGTCAACATATGAAATTTTTAAGCAAGGTGTACAGTAAAGATTAACAAAATACGTGAATGATATTTTATCAATAAGAAACGTACCCATTTAGTTGTAAATCCACTTCGTGCACGAAAATGTGTGCAGGATAGTGCATTGACCTCGTACAATGTCAAGGTTATGTCAAGGTCATATCAAGGTCATGTCAAGGTCATGTCATGGTTATGTCAAGGTCAACATATTAAATTTTTAAGCAAGGTGTACAGTGAAGATTAACAAAATACGTGAATGATATTTTATCAATAAGAAACTTACCCATTTAGTTGTAAATAAACTTCGTGCACGAAAATGTGTGCAGGATAGTGCATTGACCTCGTACAATGTCAAGTTTATGTCAAGGTTATGTCAAGGTCATATCAAGGTCATGTCAAGGTCTTGTCAAGGTCATGTCAAGGTCTTGTCAAGGTAATGTAAAGGTCAACATATGAAATTTTTAAGCAAGGTGTACAGTGAAGATTAACAAAATACGTGAATGATATTTTAATTTAAATAATTCCGTGTCCGAACACAGTTCAACGAATAATTCGCAAAGCTAATTTAATAAATAATAATCGTGTGAAAGGACGTAAGGAATATGTTTGTTAGAGAAATATGAAGAATATTATCAATAAGAAACTCACCGATTTAGTTGTAAATCCACTTCATGCCCGGAAATCTGTGCGGAATAGTGCATTGACTTCGTACAATGTCAAGGTTATGTCAAGGTTATGTCAAGGTCATGTCAAGGTTATGTGAAGGTTATGTCGCAAAGGAAAAAGTTACTTCAAATGACCTCAGCTACTCCTCATTTTCGGCTGTTTTAATAATTGTGGAACACCCTGTATAATAAAATAATATATATAATAAAATAACCCTTTGCACTTCTTCAAGCTATTTTAACTCGTAAATATAAAATCATTTTTCTAACTTATAGTATTTCTATTTTGTGTGACATTATATGTATATTATGTGACATTATTATTATATATATATATATATAACTCGTTAACAAGAGGACATATTCTTTGACATTCCGTATTAAATCATATATTTCATGAAAGTGTTGTATATCAACAAGCTATGAAGATAATCAAATGCATCGAATAAATTAGGAAAAAAAATAAATTATTAACTACCTAAATAAATTTATTATTGTCATTCTTACAGAGCAACAGGCATTAGTCGCCCTCAATGATCGACAGGTTTTCAGTGTTGAAATAATTGCACAGTGTCAAAGTGAAAGATAAAACAGTTACGAAAAACTATTGTGAAACAATTTCGGAATTGTTTAAAATGATCGACCGTCCGATCGTAAAAGTAAAGATCAATTTTCCCTAGATTGCTATGGATAATGCTGTGGCGCGTTTGGTCAGCAACGCGGAGAAGCTTCAAGCGTCCGGCGAGACGATGGGGGACCCTTTCGAGATATCGAGGATACGCAGGGAGGACTTCAATTTCCACGAGGGTCTAACAGAGGGTGACGACGTTCTCCAATCGGACAACAAAGACAGCTTGAAGACTGTGAGAGGACACCAGGGTCCGTCGGCTTTTCTCATCATGGCCTCTGGCCTCGACAACGTAAGAACTAATTCTACCGAAACTCTCGTTCACTATTCTCTGCATGATTATTTCAATACAGCAGCATACTCTTTCGAAGGATCCAATGAAATAGCTCGATTTAGACGTGGCATCATTAAAATTATTTCTGAACGGAGACTCATTGTTTCCGATTCTAAATAATTACCACCGCAATACCTGGTTCCTGAAAATCAAATTATTGTAATCGTGTGGTTCATAGATTTTATTTACATCTCGGAGATCTTTGTTCCAAAAATTCGGAGGATCTGACTTACAGAGAGATCGTGTAACTTCGATTTTTTGATCAGTCTTTGTACGATGCCAGAGATATTTCACGTCAAAGGTTTTCCTTTTATTTAGAAATACACATGCGGCTCGTTATTTTAAGATTGTCTCTCTCTCTCTCTCAATTAAAATTAATAAAATTAGTAAACGAATTAATTGTTCTGATAAATACCGTGTAAATACTTTTTACCGTTGGTTTTATCTTAATTTTAAAAACTATGTGAACTCGGTGTTTGTCTCAAGAATATCCAGATATTAAAACACTAAAAATATTTTTAAATGAAATAATATCCTGAATAAAGAAGCGTCAATTGTAATTGAGGTAGCTTTAAAATAATCAGCTGTATCAGTGTGTATCCAGAGGCAAAAAGAAAGAGAACCATTCGACGTTAAATATCTCAAGAACTATAAACCGACTGCCAACAAAACGGAGATACCTTTAGCTCTATCATTTTGCAAAGGCCGATCAAACCGTCGGATTTACACCTTTCCTTGTTGGCAGAGTCTAATCCACCGGCCGGATCAGAATTCATCGCTGTATCGCAGCGAATTAGACTCGGCAGCGAGACAGTTAGCCAAGATCTTCTTCGTCTCTGGTCGTCGTTTTACGCAGCACATTTTCTTCGCCGCGAAAAGTCGATGAATTTTTTATGGGCGATGAGCTTAGCACAAGTACCACGCGGAGGCGTTAATGGCGGATTAAAAAGCTTTTCCATTACAATGACGTTTAAAGCATCGTTTATCCGGTCTCCCGAGCGGTGTCTCTCTCTCTCCCTCTCTCTCTCTCCCTCTCTCTCTCCCTCACTCTCTCTCCCTCCCTCGCGTATCGATTGCAGCACGGCGCCTGCAGCTGTTCGCCCCTGAAGTACACGCACATCGACCTTTTCGGTCATCTGCCGAAGCCTCACCACCTGCCATACAGCGGCAACCCGGTCCTGGCGTTGTCCTATTGCTACTTGATCCAGGGCAAGTGTCTCACGGTCAGGAACGACCTGCCGTACGAGATGCAGTACGTCTGCGAGAACGAGTGCAGTCCCGTTTGCTTGCAACCCTGCCCGCCCTGTCCACCCTGTCCGGTCCCGTGCGAGGTCAAGGTCCCCTGCTCGCCTGGAACTTGCTGCTGCAATCCGCCCTGCGACCCTTGCTGCCTGCCCAATTGTTATCAGCAACCGCCTTGTCCACCCTGTTACATGCCAGCCAATTGTCCACCGTGCGGGGGCGAGCCTGTGACTGTCGTCGGACCCATCTGCAAACCGAATGTACAGAAGAACATCTGCGGTTGACGATTATTCGACAATAAAGTTGTGGGAAAACGGGGACGGTTGTTATTGTTTTTTCACTCGATTTGGTCTCGCTGGAGGAAATCTGCGCTTTCGGAACGCGGGTAAAAGTTCGCGGAAAGGAACCAAGGCCTTGGGAAGGGTGTCGGAGATCGGCGGAGGGTGGCGAAGCGCCTGGAGAAGGGAGAGGAAGGGAGCCTCGACAACGTCGATACTTCAGACAGTTGAAACGGCACACCTGGTCGATCCGCGAGTTTCAGACGGTAACAGCCGCGTTACCTACGCTCGCTCTACGGTTACCATCGGACCATAACAGCACCTCCACAGCCAGCAAATTCAGTGCCTCATCGTGCAGCGGCTGGTACGCCAGCCTTCGCAGTTATCGTCGCGCTTTCTGAAATCGACCCGAGGTCGACCCGAGCGGCGCGCGGTCTCCGCATCACTTTCTGCGGGAAGCTAATCAACGGATTCATTAAAGCCGGAAGCGTTCGGCTGACCCGGCAACCTTTTCCCCTCCACTTCCGACGCGGGGCACGGCCGAGGCTCGGTTCGGAGTCACATCGGTTTTCTCACAACGGCGTGCCGCGATTCTCACGGGCCCTATCCTCCGCGCGACGCGGTCGTGAAAAAGCGGGGCCGCTCGAAAGAATCAGTCAGAAATCGCAGGCAAATTCCGTTCGGAACGTGGATTGCGCGACGAGCGAGAGGATAGATCCGGCGCGACGCGCCGATGCGAATTTGCCTGCCAAAGCGGGCCGCGGATCTGTCCGCGGAACGCGATCCACGCGGCCGACGGCGAATCAACGAACTTTCCATACTGTCGATCAGCACGCTGTCAGAGCCGCACGCGAGCACGTACACGAGCGGGACGATAAACGGGCCGACATTGTTGTGGAGGTGCGCCTCCGTTATCGGCGAGCCGATCGGCCGGTCCTGATAAGGCGGACAAGCCGTACAAGCCTCGCCGCGACGGCCGGAATTGTAATATTATCTGGCTGATTGCTAAATTAACGCGCCGATGTACGATAAGCGTTATCACGGCCCGACACGGGCCGGATTCGTAAGAAACCGCGATAAAACGCGAGCGCGCCGCCTCGCGATAGATGTTTCTTGGAACGCGGCGCCGCGACGGTGCAATTACGCTGCGGCAATTCTTTTCTTTTTGCGCGGGGCTGGGATCGATGATCCAGGGGATCCCTCCGGAGACCGTGTCGGATCCGAGAGACTCGATCGCGGTCGTCGAACGAATCTGCTCACTGTTTTGACGGGGAAGCCGAGGAAGCGCGATGCCGCGCGAGCCTGGAACTCGCACAGGCGCACGGCGTACGTGGAAGGGAAACTTAATTACGGCCACGTCCTTTCTTAATTAAGAGAAAATGTTTGGCGTATCTCGCCGAGATTACCGTGTACGAGTCAGGCTTCCGTTTGCGCTGCCTGCGCGCCGCCTGCTCTCTCACGATCGAAAGCCCGATCCAAAACTAATTCTTCCATTCTTTCCACGCGAACGAGCGTGTCCGCCTTCGTCCCCGTGTCTCCGTTCCTTTTCACCGGCTCTTCCATCTATCGGCCGGTGGATGAGCGTGCTCGTGCCCCTGCCCGTGCCCGTGCCCGCGCGAGCACGCTTCGATCGTTGACTCCCAAAGGGAGCAACAGATTATCGCAATTATCGTGTATCGACTGGCGCTCTCGTGTGAGCGTAGGTGGATTCCATCCGGGACGATTTTCCGCGCCTCGTATCGTGGGAAATGGAGCAGCCCGGCACTTCTGCATTCTTTCATCTCCAACGGAATTTTCATTTACCGTTTATTGACCATTGGTCAAAATAAACCGAAAGGTTCACCGAGGATTAACCCTTTGCATTCTGGAGATTTGTCTGGTACACCTAGCAGCAAGTCGGAGCAGATGTTGCAAAAATCGTGATTTCGTTGTGCAAAGTCGTACTGCGATAAAAATCATTATAGCGCTGCGACGTTTAATAGGAATCAATCAATAAAAGATCTCGCGTTTTTACTTGTGTATTTTACACGATTACCTTGACGTACGAAAGCGAATCAATAATTACGAAGTCCTATTGAAATCAAAATACTGCTGTTTTACAGGAATTAATGAATAAACGATTTTATGGTTTTATTTATGTTCTTCTCACACGATTACCATACACTATGAAAAAGGAATGCCACCTCGACTATCCGAACCTCTCTCTCGCGTGAACATTAAAACGCTAGGTGCTTCCTGCCGCGATGTTTGCGGTGCATCTCGCGTCGTCGGCCAACGTTGCACAATTGCTAACGTAATCGAGCAGCTTCGAGCTTAAGACCCCGAAGACAGGCGGGATTGCTACGGAGCCAAATTTCCTCGGGACCAGCCAAGAGGAAGGCCGCCGATCGTGGCCAGGAAATGGCCCGATCAGTCTCGGTCCCGGTCGCCGTAAAACCTGGACGAACATCGGGTTAGACGGGTCCGGGTAGCACACAGCCTCCGGCCGGTAAACATGGTGGCAGTGGTAGCAATATCGTCGCGGTCGGGCCTCGCGCTCGCCGGTGCAACACGCGAGTTGACATTGTTTGAAGAACTTGAAGCGAGCAAAGTCGTCGCGCGAGGAGAGTCGAAGAGTGGCGAGAAAGGTTCCCTACTCGCGAACCTCTGCGGATGGTCTGTAGCAAGGGTGAGGAGGAGGTGGAGGAGGAGGCCGGGGACGAAGGAGAGGAGGAGGAGAAGGGTGCGAGGAGGAGCAGGAGCAACAGCAGCAGCAGCAGCAGCCAGCAGCCAGCAGCAGCCGGGCGAAACAAGAAGAACAGAGAGGCACGGCGAAACACACGTATACAGGCGGAGAAGGCGCGCGCTCCACGAAGAAGCAGAAGAAGAAGAAGAAGAAGAGGAAGAAGAAGAGGAGGAGGAGGAGGAGGAGGTGGTGGAGGACGAGGAAAAAGGAGAAAGACGCCGCGGGAGACAGAGAGGGACAAAGAGAGAGAGGAAGGGTGAGGAAAAGGAGGGGTAGGGGGTGGTAGGGGGCAGTGTGGCGGGTTCGACGGCCGGCTGGTGGCCCAGTGACCGGGACCGGTTCCCTCCGCGGTTCCTCCTTCCGCCTTCCTTGCAAACGCACAACTGCATCATCTCGACTCGCCTCTGCCCCCTCGCCCCGTTCCCCTACCCGCGGACCCGCGTTCTGCAGCCTTCCTTCAGTCTCTTCCTCTGCATGTTCGTTCACGCTCGTTCCTTCGCTGGAGCGCTGTCTCTATCATCGGGTACTCCTCTCTGGCCCGGCGTTTCTCCGTCTTCGTCTTCCTCGGTCCCAGCCCTCTCTCTCTCCCTCTCTCTTTCTCTCTCTCCCTCTCTTCTCTCTCTGTCTCTCCTCTTCATCTTTATCAGCCCTCGGCGTGTTCTGGTTGTTGTTGTTCCTGACGTCAACGTCCTCTCCGTCTCCGTCCCGGTCTCCGTCGATCACGCGAAACCGTCAACCACACGCGCGAACAACCACCGCCTTCCCCTTTTTTTCCATTCTGCCCAAGCTGTCCGAGCCCTGTCGGCAGTCCCCGGGATTAGTCCCAAACGGTGACCCCTTCCGTGTCCGGCCAGCCTCGACTTTGACTTTTGCTCCGTGAGTTACGTGTGCATCGCGTCGCGTTCATCGATAATGCAGCAGTTACACGATATGCAAAGGCGATTGTAATGTTGCTCGGTCTGTCTTACAGACAAGCCTATTCCACGTCAGCGGGCCTAATCCTTCTAACGTTGCACGCCGGCCAATAATAGTTACGTATTTTGCTGATTTGTATTGCATGAACACGATTGCGGGACTTCTCAGCTGTGCCGCAGACAAGCCCAGATACTGTGCTCGGCTCTGTCTTCGGCGTATCTGTCCGCTGGCATCCCAGAGATGTTCGAATCGTCTGAACCGAGTCGAAGGAAGTTATTCCGCTTCGCATCGTGTACAGAGACTTCGTACACGATTCAAGTATTGTTTGGAAATAGGGACACTTGGGAACCAGTGTTGGGTGACCGGCGATATCGGATCATTCGACGGTGCGTTTTCGTAGCGGCTGGAAATCGCCGAGGCTGCACTGCGGAGTACAGTAAATTCTCCCTAATTGACGCTCAGATTGTGCGCGAAAATGGACAATTCGAGGGGAGGAGACGCGATTGTTAGAGTCCTGCGGCTCGTTTTTATAGTTGACGATTGTCCAACAACTATGAAAACGAGCCGCTGGGCTCGAATAAAATTCTCCCAAATTAGGGAGAATTGACTGTATTTACATTCCGACAAATTTGCAATGCTGCAATACATTTTCCACGTTTTCTTCTCGATCGGATGAACCGGTGCCCGAGCTTTCGCGCTCTATTGGAAACGACGTATTACTGTTACAGCTTCGTAGCACCGTAGGAGCGTGCGATTTCACGTGCCGTGATATTAACATATTCTTTGTTTTCCAGCGACGTCACGTGCTATTACACGAATTCACGTGATTTTACGTGACCCGACGTTAGTACGCTTCTGTCCCCATATTGTCACGCGTGGACGGATTTCATTGCTACGACTTCACGTGATTTTACGCGACTTCGCGCGACGTGACACGCGTACTTTACACCGTGCCCTGTTGCGCGGACTTCAGGAATTTTCACCGCGAAGAACAACTTGAACAGCAAATTTCGCGAATGCAGTACCGGAAATATTAGAGAAAAATTGGAATAATTTTTCTGCTACTTTAACACGTTCGCTGGCAGCGTCGCGCACGCGTGACGATCACGATTTTATATTTCACGTAAAGAACATCAAATTGTCTCGTGACTGTAATTACTTGAAACTGTAACACGATGATATTTAGCGAATTTATTGCTTCTCTTCGACGGCAGTTTTGTCATATTTTATTAGAGAATACGATGCATTTGATACGATCGATGCAATCAATGTAACAATGCAGGCTGGTTAAGCGAACGTTTGAACGCCACGTCACCCATATCTGGGTGATGTTTCCGCAGTCTTCGTCCAATTAAAGCAGGATTTTCGAGGTAATTTATAACAATTTCATTTGTAACACA